TTTTAGGTGCTGCAAAATAAGAACCGAAGATGATGACGAGGGCTAGAACTCAAGAGCAACTGTGCTGCTTCTGCAATATCCCTCAGAGGCCGCGCATTCCCACAGAACATGACAATAAATGTGATTCTCTCAACTGGACGATTCGTCGATGTCGCAAACTATGAACATGGCCTTCTAAATGCACAACATAACGCACCTGCACTTTACAGCCGCACCGTGTGGGCACCGACCAACACCACGAAGAGCGACCGCATCACTGTTCGAACTTTTTTCATTGGACGAATGTTCGTACATTCGCTTCTTCAATACTTCCTGGAAGAAACACTTTCACCTCGATCGAACTGAATCCTCATCTGTCTGTGGTTGAATTCCTATGGACCCTATGTTGTACGGATGCAGATAAGATGAAGGGTAGCTCAACCTTCCGAGCTCTCAAATACTAACACAAGTGCCGCTCGCTCATAAAACTGTGAAGTTAAGAAACATGCTCTAACCTTGTAGACATGAGCCCTGAAATCATCCCATGGAGTTTTTTCGAGCTTATCAGCCGGACCGCCAAACTTCTCGTCACAATAATAGCATACAACATCACTCGATGCATGTCGAAACAGCATATGAGCCGCAAGTTTGGTGACCGAAATGGCGTACTGAAACAAATTTTCTTTTACACTAAGGAGCACAGTCAGAGAGACGCAAGTGTAAGAACAAGGGGGCAGTTGAGCGACGGGGGGGCATGCTGCACTTTCGCTACTTCATTAGTCCCGGGTTACAAGTTTTACACTGGTGAAATCTGTGAAATCCCGTGAAGCTGGAGCAAGCTCGTCGACCACCGTGGTAAAACCTGCCAACTCTGGTGAGCTTATGAAATGGCTCTCGAGGTGGCTCGACGCGTTGATGGGAAGTAGCAGAAGTACAAAATGCCCCTCCCCTCGCCAAACTGCCTTGAACGTAGGCCTAAGATCTAATAGTCATGCAACTGTGACAGTAAGGCCGTGTACATAACTTGTGACACTCCATGGAATCAAGGAATCGCGAGAATTGGAGAATTGGGGAATGTGTGAAAAGAGTAAATAAGTATCGACTTTACCAGTTCTACGTTGGGGTGAGTCAATCAATACATAATCCAATCTTTCTCTCTGATCCTCTAAATTAACGAATCTCTGACTCTTCAGGACTGCAAGGTATGAACGCGGCTAGTGTAGAGTGGATTCCACTGAGATCATTTTCTTGAATACAGGGTCCGCAATTATCCGCCACGCATAAGCGCGTCGCCTGTACGAGCTGGTATAGTTCGCAGCCGCACAGTATGTACAGACATTTCCCCTACAAACGATAGGGCGGTACTGGAACACTGACAGGACGGCCTTTTCCCACCAATGATGCCATCCTGATTCCGCAACAGTTGGCGAAAAAGACTGCTCTGGCTGCGCTGCAGCTCACTCCCCACCATACATACTACGACAGAGATCATGTGGACTATACAATCTTCGCTGCTTGGTAAGAACGCCAATGCTCTTCTACGACAGGAGCGCCCCACCCCCAATGCAGCTCTCCACCTTCATTACTTCGTTTCACCAGCTACAGTGTTAGAATCTCGATTATTTGTGTAATCTCTTGTCATACCACTGTCTTTTCTCTTTTCTACGCTCAGTGCCCTTCAGCGCATGCTCATCTAATGCTGGAACTAGCAGGAGTGTTCGAGCGCTTTCGACCGGTGCTTGTGTTCTTTCTCAACTTCATTTAGTATCGTCTCGATATCCGTATTTACCACTACCCATGAATGGCAATCGCTAACTCGGCCTTTGGGAAGCTTTCTTGCAGTTTTTGGTGGGGATGATTAGTTCCTGTCCACGACCATCCGATCGTTGAAGAATTTGCCTCACACAATGCAGAAGCCCTTCTCTGCACAAGGTGGAGCGGTTCGCAAACGCGTAGGACGTCCCAATTTTGCGGTCCAAAAGTGTTCGATAAATGCGCCACGGCCTGACAACGACAAGTTAGCTCCGCCTCCTCGGGTTTTCTATGGCTTTTTTTCTTCATTGGTATTTTCGCTTACCAGATAATCTCATGATTCTGATACCTACCTACGAAGGGGAATCGCGGGCAGTGCTTGAAAGATAAAATACGGCATAACATTTAAAAAATCACCTTATCACAGTGTGCACAGGGTATCTTCATGTCATGGGGGCTCGAATCTCATGTTCAGCCAATTCTTTTATTGTGTAAAAACCACGATGGCACTTCTTACATGCATATGGACACTCATCCTCGGGTAAGAAGAAACTGAAAATATCGATAAATACTGAAGTTGCACATTTACGGATAGAAGCTCCAACTCACTCCAAGCCCTCATACGTTCCACGACTTGACGAGCTCGAACTCCGCCCACGCTTCCTCGGTGGACTGCGTCGGCGCCTTCGTCGAGATCTACGTGATCTGCTGAAAAAAAACACTTGCCAATAGCGCTCGAATTTCAGAAACGATCGCGTAATCAATGTTAACCTGCGGCTACGGCTGCTCCTAGACGAATCACTGTCGCTGCCCGACCGAGTCCTCCTTCGCCTACGACGTCTGGACGTCGAGCGCCTTCGGCGGGACCTCTCCCTGTCCGACGAATCTGGTGTGGTGGACCTTGACCTTTTCTTGCTTTTATCTTTGCTTCTCTCCTTCTCCTTTTCTTTTTCCTTGTCCTTGTCCTTGTCCTTTTCCCTTTCTTTTTCCTTCTCCTTCTCCTTCCCTTTTGAAATTTCGTTCTCTACGTGACGCATAACATCTTCGACTATCTGAAATCAGTGTATTTAGCGCCATCAAGAACAGAAATGAGGGACCTTCCACTTGTCCTAGCAACTTATATTAGCCTATTAAATTAATACCCCTCTTCATACGGAAAATAAACATTTAAAGTCCAAAAACAACAACAAAAGTTAGACCCTGATGACTGAATACCGCTGTAGAGCAGTGTCAGAGAACGATGCTCTTGGGAAGAGGGAAAGGACATGGATGAGAAGAATGACATCGTTTCCTGACCCCGCCCGCCTGACAATCCTGAGCGATAATTTTAACTCATTTTCTGAGACCAAACAAATAAGAGCGGTAACCGGAGTCAGTTTCACAATCATTCTCGTCTGCCAGTCCCTCGTGCATGACCAAACTCCTCGGGTACCCTTTTTCCAAAATCTTCTCTCATTCTCAGAACCAAAAAGGCTGAGAATAAGACTATTTTACGCAAGCGCATAGAAGCACATTCCGCAAAAGTAAGCCATAGGTAGTGAAATACTGATATGAATATGTACGTGCCAGCTTACTACTTCTATCATAAAACGGATGGTGTTCGCCGTTGATCAATCCCTTTTGGGATGCTCCATGCATTCCACTTCCATTGAAAATAGTACAGACTGATTGAGTGCAGTCACTGATCACTCGTGGGGGTCAACCGATGAACAAGGGAGCGTTCTTATCCTCCCAGATGAATCTGATACTAATTTACCGTTTCAGGAGGACAGAAAGCTTGGTTGGCCTGGGTGGGAGCCAATCCAGGATTTGTCCCTAGACTGCACGCGTGGCAGGCCCGTCACATGCAACT